TGCACAGGCAGTCCAACTCCTCCAGGATGCCACATCAATACAAGCCGTTGTCAGAAGGTTTGCTGTGTCTCCAGCACAGTCTCAAGAGCATGGAGGAGATTCCAGGAGACAGGGAGTTACTCTAGGAGAGCTGGAAAAGGCCATAGAAGGTACTTAACCCATCAGCAGGACTGGTATCTGCTCCTTTGTGCAAGGAGGAACAGGATGAGCACTGCCAGAGCCCTACAAAATGACCTCCAGCAGGCCACTAGTGTGAACGTCTCGGACCAAACAATCAGAAACAGACTTCATAAGGGTGACCTGTAGTGGGCTCTGTGCTCATTGCCCGGCACCATAGAGCTCAATTGGCATTTGCCATTGAACACCAGAATTGGCAGGTTCGCCACTGGCGCCCTGTGCTTTTCACAGATGAGAGCAGGTTCATCCTAAACACATGTGACAGACATGAAAGGGTCTGGAGAAGCCATGGAGAACATTATGCTGCCTGTAACATTGTTCAGCATGACGGTTTTTGGTGGTGGGTCAGTGATGGTCTGGGGAGGCATATCCATGGAGGGACACACAGACCTCTACAGGCTAGACAATGGCACCCTGACTGCCATTAGGTATCGGGATGAAATTCTTGGACCCATTGTCAAACCCTACGCTGGTGCAGTGGGTCCTGGCTTCCTCCTGGTGCACTACAATGTCCGGCCTCACGTGGCGAGAGTATGCAGGCAGTTCCTGGAGGATGAAGGAATTGATACCATTGAATGGCCCCCACGCTTGCCTGACCTAAATCCAATAGAACAGCTCTGGGATATCATGTTTCGGTCAATCCGATGCCGCCAGGTTGCACCTCAGACTGTCCAGGAGCTCACTGATGCCCTGGTCCAGATCTGGGAGGAAATACCCCAGGACACCATCCATCATATCATTAGGAGCATGCCCAGACGTTGTCAGGCATGTATACAAGCATGTGGGTGCCATACAAACTACTGAGTACTATTTTGAGTTGCTGCAATGAAATTTCAGCAAAATGGACTAGCCTGCTGCATCATTTTTTTTCACTTTGATTTTTGGGGTGTCTTAGAATTCAGTCCTCTGTAGGTTGATAATTTTCATTTCCATCAAACGATGGGGCATCCTTACATTCCTAACACATTACCCAGTTCATGTCAGTATAGATATCCAGCATGAGATTTTTCCACATTGAGATCTGATGTGTTTGAAAGTGTTCCTTTTTAATTTTTTTGAGCATTGTATAAGTCAGATAGGGAGGATCACAGACACACTAGGGGCATGGAAGCTAAACATCCCATATCTATGTGGATGTAACCAGCACACGTAGGCCCTGGACAGGGCAGAAGACTGGGAGGCCTGGACGTATACTCAGGAGGAGCGTGCTTGCTCCTGAGCTCCACCCCCGCTCGCTGCTTGGTTGTAATTGGCAACAATGGGAGCCAATGGCTCCAGCTGCTGTGTCTGAGCCAATGAGGAGAGAGAGACCCGGGAGAGCCACTGCTCCTGTGTACAGCGCTGGATTGAGATCGGGCTCAGGTAAGTATTGGGGGTGGGAGAGCTTTCTGCATTCTAAAAAACTTCAACCTTCACAACCACTTTAATAACATTTAGGTAAAGAGGTCCAAAACAAAATTTTGATTGATGGTGTCACCACTTTTTTTGAAGAGAACTTTGTGTTTTTTTTCTGTGTTTATTATGTGCATACCTGACCTGTGAGGGCCTGTGGAGGGCCGATCAATACTGTAGTTCAGAGTCCCCCTTGTGAAGTATTTCTTGTATGTTGAATAATGAGGCTGTTGATTTCATTAGATCCGTGTTGGCTGTGCGTCTCATCTCATTCGGCTCATTCAGCACACAGATAATGATGATGATTGCTGTTTAATGACTCCTCACTTATAATGTTTGCTGGAGAGAGAAAAGGTAGCATTTACCAAAAAAACAAAAATTCCAAGAAATCTAAGACAAGCTTATAAACACAGTGGCATTCTCAGTACTACATGAGCTCTGTATTGCCCCAATGACACTTCCACTACTACATATTTCAGTCTGCACCGCACACATTGCGCCTCCTGCACCAGTGGTGATCAGTCCATTGTAATACCGCCATGAACTGGACAATCCCCTCAACTCGCCAGGACAGATACTCCCCCAAGACACCTGTCAGTTATACAGGTTGGGGTGTTGGGCTTTTAAAGCTGAAAGCCCAACTCCAGGAAACCTAAAAATGATCCTTAGTTTTGGTATTGCGCCTGCACTACAAGAGTCAACTGCTCATTTAGTCTAGGGTAGTGGCCTCCAAACTGCTCCTCCTGACCACAGGCACTATGTAAGTTAACTTGCACTGACCACCGAGCCTGAGACATTGTCTACTCCCATTGACACCAGGAAGTTTTCTACTCCCAATGGCCACAGTCTGGCCCCCCTAAGGTCTTAGGGATAGTAAACCAGCCCTTTGTTAAGAAAGTTTGGAGACCCCTGGTCTAGGGGAAAGGAGGCGCACTATAACTTACCTGATCCTCCACTTCTCTGGCAAGTGGTGCTTCCCTATGCTGTACCTCAGTGTCATCATGTCCAATGCTGGACTTTGGTAACTGCATTGGCCTTGATGACATTAGAGGACCTTAGACTGCGCCAGAGCATGGGGGAGAAGATGCTGCAGGGACTGGTCTAGTGGCGAGGAAGAACAGAAGATTGGGTATGTAGATCTTCTTTCTTATGTCCTCTAGACCCAAATGAGCAATTAACCCTTGCAACGTGTGCACAGCCCCACTGCAAGGGATCATTTTCAAGTTTTCCATAGTTGGGCTTGAAGTTTTTCTGCTTTAATTTTGCCTTTTCCAATTCTTCCTTTCTCACCAACATGCTAATGACATTTTTAAACTAATCCTTTCCATTTCTATTACATTCCTTATTGTACACCCAGTGACATTATCATGGGTCTCTATACTTCTCTATGCAATGCAGGCAGGTCATGGCTAGTGGATAGGGGCCGGCAGGGTGCTGTACATGGCTTCCTGAAAACATCACAGTACATCGTCTCAGTGCTTCTCTTAAGAGTCTTCAGGCCTGTTGCAAGCAGTGGATTGACTTTTGAGATGAGTTATGCAAATATAGCACTACCCCCTTAGGAGTCTCTGAGTTTTGGGTCCCCCTACAGCTCTGCACATCCAGGCAACATGTATGTTTCCACACATTGCATTCAGAGTCAGTAAACAGTCCTTGATCTTGGTTTTGTGATTTTATTGAGGGGTTGATAACTTGGATGGGGCTGAGAGGTGTATGGGATGCCCAAGAGAACTGCAAAGTTGAGGACAAACACCTTAGCAACTATGTACAGATATGGAAAAATAGTTTCTCCTCTGAGAGCATTCCCGCTCTCTGGTTTACCCCCTTGGACCTCATCTTTACCCAGCTGTACTGAAGTTATTCCCTGGGCAAGGAGACCCAGAAGCTGCCAACTCAAAACAGTCCCAGATGAGGAGCTAGTTGGGTTCTCCACCTGACTGCCCTCTCCCCTGATCTGGCCCAGGGGGGTGTAAAGTTACTTACTCTGTCTCTCCATGTGAGCTTGGTGGGTTGGTGGATGCCTTCTGGCCTTAAGTTGGGCTGGCTCCTTCCCTGCTTCCCAGGTTGTCCTCTCTCAGGGGATGGTGAGACTGAGAGATCCTTCTGGGCCCCCTCCCAGGCTCCACACTGCAACCTTGACTCTGTCTTCCACCTGACACAATACTCCTGCTATCAGGCTCTCTCATACTTAAGGGCTATACTGACCCCATGCCAAGCTTCCTGCTTGGGGATTGGTCAGAGTCTCTTGAGCATGCAGATCAGCCCCTCCTCACCCTCACCCACTGCCTTCCAGAATCTTCTCAAGCTTCCAGAGAAGGGGGACGTGTCAGGTAACTGACCTGCAGAGCCCTCAGCCCTGACCTAGAGTAACCTGGCTGACTCATCCCAGGCTCGCCCCCCAAAAAAAAAACTAACTAGCTCCCCCTAGTTAAATTTGAGGGGTGCTACACAAATATTAATGTGCCTTAATGGGTAGATGCCAGTCTGGAGGAGTGGGTGTTCCTGGGCAGGCTGCATTTTCATGCAGTCTGCCTTTGATAAGGCTCGTATATGATGCTGAGCCTCCATAACTGAAAGAATGAAAATGCAATGAATGAAAGGGGTGGGCCAGGGACAGTCAAGCTTGGGAGGAAATTTCTGGATGATGCTGGGCAGGAAATGAGTTGTGGCTTGCTGCAGAATGAGAAACTCACAGTGTGCAGCAAAAGCAGAGTAAGTCATTTCAGTCCAGGAGAGGAGCCTGTACAACTGTGCAAGACTGAAGGAATGTATAGAGTTCAGCTTTAAGAGTGCACATCTCACCTCCGAGATCCCTGTTGTTTTATAGAGGTGGATTTCTCTTTCTTATTATGAGATCAGTGTTATCCATTGTATCATTACTTGTCATCTGATCAACAAATGTTTAACTGCAATCCATCAAAAATGTTTTGAATCTACATTTTTTTATACGAAAATGAACCTTGCTGCAATTGATCGTCTTCTCAACATCTGGTCACAGTTCTTCTCCCCTTCTTCAATACATGGGTACTGTAGGGGATCGTGTTTGTCGGTCCAAGGGCGGTCGGTGTTTGTTGGCTCTGGGGAGGGAGGGCTGTGTGGGCTCAGTCACTGGGTGGGGTGCCATTGGTGTGGGTGGTCATACGTTGGTGGGTGCTGAGCCTGGCATCTTCAATGTTATAGTGTTCCACCCGACATGTGCCACAGACCACCTGTGTGATGACAGAGAGGATGCAGCTCTGCCTGGCTATGAATCGCACAATAGAGGTGGATAAGTACAGGCTATTCTTCCTGTCTACAGCTTTCCCATCTTACTGCTCATCAGCCACAACTGAGACGAGGGACGTGGGTACATATATACTGCTACCAGCCAGGGGCGGACCGACCATTTGTAACTGGGGTCAGTAGGGGGCCCCATGAGATGCCCCTGGTACCTTTCATAGGCTTTTTTGGGTGTGGTTTGAGTGTGGGTGAAGACACAGGGGCCCCATGATCCCCAATTGTCTGGGGGCCCCATGAGTTGTCAGTCCACCCCTGCTACCAGCTACAACATACTCTCTGCACATCTTCATCACCTCTCCTCCATGCGTAAGGCTGGATATACACAAGTAGATTTTCAAACAAAAATGCGTACAAAAATTCTCAGTATACTCGACGGCTTAACAGATGTTGTTTGAAAATTTCATTTGCTTTTAACACTTGATTTTGGGGTGAATGGACTTCACTGCACCAAAGCTACATACACTGGTAAAAATTTGCTGATTCAAAAAAAAAAAAAAATCCAGCTCCAATGAATTTTCTCGTTACTGCGGTCAAAAATGTATACTGATTTGACTCCACTGATGATTAGAAAACCAAACAAACGTTCCCCCCCTAAAAGGGGGAAGTTCCGCTCTTCCTCTTTCTCCCCCTCTCCTCCTTCAGATTTGGCACATCATTTTTTTTGGGGGGAAAGCAGGTACTTGTTTTTGATAGGTATCCGCTCCCCCACTTCAGATCAGATTGCCACAATGACCTGAGAAGATGTTTGGCCCCCTCCTCCCTCCACAGGGACATGTCACAGGTCCTGGAAAGCTGCAGGACCAATCAGATAGCACGGTGTGGCTCGCACATGTGCAGTGAGCAGCCAGCTATGAAGCCACAAGCTGTCACAGCCAGATGCCCACAGTTAGTATGCCGGTGCGGGGACTGAAGCCTGGTGTAGACACTGGCTGGGTGAGGACACCGCTGGATCCTGGGGCAGGTGAGTGTCTAATTATTCAAAGTCAGTTGATACAGTTTTTGTAGCTGCTGACTTTTAATTTTCTAATAGAGGACTGAAGAACCACTTTAAAATGAAAATATTAGTTTGAAAATCTACTAGTGTATACCCAGCTTAACTTTAGGTTCACATCTTTGCAGTTTGCTTTGGATCTGTTTCTGCAGTGCTTTTTGCAGTGCATTTTGCATTTTTGCACGTGTTTTTGACACGTTTTGGTGGTGTTTTTGATGCATTTTGTGTTTTTTTTTCCAACTTGTTGATGGGCAGATTAAAAAGAAAAACGCAGCAAAACGCACAACATGCATTTCTGCAGCATCTCCATGAAGTCTATTGAACCTAAAAAGCAACATTTTGCTTTTAAAAAGTCCTTGACCCTTTCCAAAAAATGCAGCGGGTGAAAACATGGAGATGTGAACCTGTCCCATAGTTAACCATGTTAAATGGACTGTAGTGCATTTCTGCAAAATGCAGAATGCATCGCAAAATGGTTAGGTGTGACCTAGACTAAGTCTGGGTATACATTATACTAATTAAAGAAGGTGTTTGCTGTCAAATGTGATATGCCGCATATAATTTTGACATGTCTGCAATGCTTTGCTTGGGTACAAACCTTAGTGCCCACTGTGTTAGGTTTTAGATGGGCAGTCAGGGGGCTGTAAAAACACGGATCAACCACCTGTTTTTACCACCCCTTTGTTGCACATGTAAATGAGGCCTGTGAGGCCAAAAATGCTCAACAAAGCTCATGTATCTTTTCATGCTTCTAGCTCCAAGAAACTGAGCCACAATGGAATAGACGGAATGTTGTCATGTGTAGCGAAATGCATGAAAATGTTGGATAAACGCTTAGGTGTTAATGGAGGCCCAAGCATCAAAGTGTAAGTACTGAGGACCGCCCATATTGTGGAAGCACCACCAATAAGATTGAAGCCTAACCTGGAAAATGAATTTTAGAAGTTGGAGAATGACAGTCGTTTGTCCTGGCACAAGGATATATGAGGCCCACTATGTGTGTGTAAGCATTACCATGAATATTCATGCGAGTTTCTATGAGATCACCGACTATTCGCACAATTTCACGCTCACTTTCAGTTACAATATTCCAATTCCAGTAGCAGAACTCTGTGATTAAACTACTTCTCATCAATTCGCCGGAGCCCTGGTCTGACAGTTTGTAATGACAGTCTTCTTCTGTCTAATAAAAGAGGTTGTTGAAGCTCAGCGCAGTAAATGGTGTTTTCAGAGACTCTTTTCTTATTTCATTATGCTATGAAAGTCTGTATTACAGGGGGGGGGGGGGCTGTTTATTTCTGCTTCTCAAAACTTTATTTTTATTTAAATGTGTACAAAATAGATTTTTGTGTGGCCAACACAGCTTTATATTATTGGCACAAGGGATCATGACTACTGCTATGTCATCATCATTTAGGGTGTCTTGGGGAAGACCACCCTGCATTACCTGGGGTTTCCAAGGTCCATTCCTATCATCATGCATGAGATATACTGTAATTGCCCCAACATGCTCTGGGGATGCAGGGACCTACCTGGTACAGCTCCCAGAAGGCCATCTGTATAACTCAAACCGTCCTGAATGGCCTCTCACAATTATAAAGCAGGGGCTTTACTCTAAGTGGCTCCTGGACCTCCATGTTCCTCAAAAACCATGAGTGAGGACCAAGCTATGTTAAAGTCCAGATGCAGTTTATTCATATTTGAAGCCTATTAAAAAAGCCAACATATTTCAGCTATAATACTTACCTGTCTGTTTGTTGGCGACACGTATGGAACCGACTGCTCTCTTACCTGCTGCCTGGACCTGACTACTCTTATATTTGCTGCCTGCCATGACTTCTGCTCAGATGCAACTACTCTTGTCTCCCACATTCTGAACAGTCTCTGCACTGGTAGTGTACCCCCCCTAAAGAGCCGCTCGTAGATTGGTCTATTTCCTTCCCTCAGCTCGTATACAACCAGACACACAGCATTTCTGAAAGTCTCTCTGACTCAAAAAGCAGTCTAGGGGTTTTTTTTGTGGTTTTTATTTTTGGGTAGAACTTGAATAGGGATATGGATACCCTGGAACTGTAGAACGTGGACAGGTTTAGGGCTGCTAGCTTTCTGGCTGCACTTGTCCACTTATTTACAAAAAGCAACAAAAGGGACTTGTGCTCCTTCAGCTGTATCTGTACAACGCCTGATGGTATTGCACCCCTGCTTGGCTATACTGGCACACTTCAATCTGTACTCTACTTTAGCAACAAGTCCCATAGAATCTCCCAGCTGCCTGTGATCCTGCCTTCTCCTCAAGACTAAAGCACTAAACAGTTACCCTAGGAGTACTGGGATTTTGTACTCACTCCCACAGGACCATTGGTTGCCTCCTTCCAATATCCACCAAGCTCTTTTCTTGTGAGGGAGACACAGATTCACTCAGCCTCAAGGACAGCTTGGGCTCCCTCCCATGGCTTCCTTTCCAGCCTTCCTCCCCTGAGCTCTCTCTTGACTCCCTGGATTCCTGGGAATTCTCTTTCTTCAGGTTCCCCAGCTAGTCCTAGCTAGGACCCTCTTTGCCTTTGCTGGCTCCTTCCCTGGTTTCTGCCCAGGAGGGTTAGGCCCCTCAACAGGGGTCTCCTCCTGGCTGGACCATGGATTTCTTCCTTACACCAGCATGCTGCAGACTCCCCTTATTGCTGAGGCTCAGACTATTTAAGGGCTCTTCCCCCACCTTCTTGGCACACCTCCCCATTGGTGGAAATTCTATAAATATTAGGCTACCACCTGAATGCCCCTATGTTCGGGAAACCATCAGATAGTTCCAGAATACAGGGGGAAGTAGCAGCCTGTGAAACCCCGAGCAGCCCTAACCAAACAACCCCCCCCCAGTACCACTGATTACAGTGGAACCAAACTAAATTTACTTCACAGGAGGTGCACACCATTGCCCTTCTATCCCAGAAACCCCTTGATGCAGTGATCCTAAGGGTCATCACCTGGTGTCAGTTTGCAGGAAAGAAAACCAGGAACCACTAAGGATTCCTGTCCATCTCCACCATCAGGAGATCTGAGGAAGACCAACTTGGGTGAGCTTGTGTCACCTGCCATCATAACAGCCACCAATTGTTTTATATTTTTATCAATATATGAGACCCTACATGAAGCTGACCCATCTGTGAGGTCTGTTATTTCAACTCTTCTCAAATGTTGAGGATGTGATTGAACGCTATGTATATAACTGTGTGATTACCACACAATTGATGGAAAACGTATCTACAACCAGAATAGTGACATCACTCATTTGTGAGTCCATGAAAACATCCCCGAGGGATGAGCAGGTCGCTGTGTCTTCATAGCTGAGGGTGATGACACCTCTGTGTGTCTGGGGCCCCTTCATCATAAAAGCCGCTAAAAGATTCAAATCCTGTTGGAGACAGAAAGTAAACTCTGTTCATCCCGGACGTTTTCCTTACATCGCATTGACAGCATACTAACACTTTACACCAGCAAATAACATTACAACAGCACACAATGAATGACACCGGAGTGCGGTGTCACGGAGCGCAGACACAGCAATTACAGATTTACCTTGTAGGACAATGGAGGGACGATGGCAATATTCCCCTTCCAATGCTCATTATTTTCACTGGTAGAAAAAGGAGACAACGGAGAACCGTAGCTATTATGATTTGGTGCTGCCACCTTCTCGTCCTTCTGTCCAAAGCCATGAGTCCTTTATGATCATTGAAACTCTGATAATGGATCAGTGGCTATCAGCAAGGTCGATCAATATTCCATCCAGGCTCAGCAACATTGATATCCTACAGCTATAAGACATTTGAAATGGCAATGATTGCATTATATTTATTTATTAATAATTTTTAAAGCTGAAATTCAACCTTGCACAGTTGTACCGGATTTTCTCCTGTACTGAAATAGCTTACTCTGATTTCACTGCACACTGTGAGCTTCTCACAGTGTACATTAGAAGCTGTAGCAAGTCAGTTAAAGCCTGTCTCACTTCTTGGTTGGAGGATGTCCAGCATTATCTAGCCCTTTTCTAAATTAGGGGGTCCTATAAGAGGGTAAGCTGCTTTCCTGTAGGTGGTGTTTTTTTTGTTTAACACAAGCAAATGGTGAGTGAAGACATTGACTTATGTAGTGCCCTCCTCCAGATAGGCTGCTCAGTAAATTTTGTTTTCGGCTCCATTGTAGGGAATGGAGCGGTGGTTGATCATGAAGGTCTACTCAGAATTTCCTGAGCTGAGAGTTTGACTACTCACACATTCCTCTGAATGTTTCCAGAGCATAAGGCTG